CGGGTAACCGGGCGGGTAGGACTTAGGAATTACCGAATTAGTTTAATTTTTTTTTTGACCCGTCGGGCTAGCCCGCACCAACCCGGGTCAGCCCGTTTAGGTCCGGTTTTAATATGGACTTAAATTTTTAAACCCGGCCAGTCCTATATTTTTAAAAAATGAGCTGACCCGATGGGCCAAGTCCATTTTGACAGGTCTATTGCTGGCTACCTTAATCATGATGCTTCAAAATCACGATAAGTCTTTGAAAGTTGTTAAGGAGGGGCAATGTCAAAATGTCACCTAGTATATTATCTCGGAAACTCAAGAAGTTGACTCTTAAGATTAATTTTCACATTTTAAGTATGAAGAAAATGGCAAAAGATTAATATTAACGTGAATTCAGTAAGATTTCAATCCTGGTTTTAAATTTATGTTATGTCAAAGCACAGCCAAACGTTCATGGCATGAGTTCATGTTCAAATTGTAATTGACAGAGTGTATCTACATCCCGAGCCTGCTTACCATACTTCCTGCTATTCCTTACCATCCAGAGAAAATAGATATAAGCATTCCATGCCACCTTAAGGTTGACCAGCGAGAGAGATTTTCCTTCCAGCAGCTTGATCCAATTAAACTCGTCAGACCAGCATCCAAGAGTCCTGTGAATACCAGAGCAATGCAGCACTTTGGTCCATAGCTGCCTGTATCTCTGTCGTCAACTTCTTGTTTGTATAGAAAGCAATTTGAGTAGCAAGCCTGCAAAGAGTGGGCAGCTAGCTTATTTAGTATTAGCCATCCTCGCAATCATGGCATCCTTGGGTATGCTGTACTGAAACCATAGTCTATCCCTGCCCACCCTAGCCTGATGTCTACCATCATACACAGAGACCAACTATTTAACCCGCAAAAGCTTATTGGCATAAGCTGTGAGCTCCTCCGTAAGTGGTACTCCCAAGTAACGAACAGAAGCAGTCCTTGAAAACCAATGAAGTTGTCGCATGTGAGTGAGATCATGCTGGCTAAAACCAGAACAAAAGATTATATTTGCTATTGTTCAGCTGAAGGCCAGAAAAATTATAAAACTGCTTAGGAATCTCAAAAATAGATCTAATAGATCCTTCGGAATAAGATCATCTGCAACGCAAGCCTTTTGCATTTGGGATGATATTTCATTTTCCTTGGGCAGCATCAGTGTTCAGCATCCTAGACAAAAAGTCTATCACAATAACAAAGAGATATGGGGAAAGTGGATCACCTTGTTTGATTCTCTTAGAACCAGAATACTTTATGGAGACACAGCGCCTTATCCACAGCATAAAGTTCGGCGGTTATCCAAAGCCTCTGATACTGTAAACAAGAAGTCCTCGCTAACAGAATCAAAAGCCTTTTTGAGGTTGATCTTCAATGTACATCTAGGAGATAGACCTTTCCTCTAGTAACCTCTCACAAGCTCTTGGGCCAGAAGAACATTATCCTCCAATCTCCTACCTTCCAAAAATGCACTCTGGTTTGCACAAATGATGCTTGGTAAGCACTTCTTAAGCCTATTGGAAATGAGCTTAGTACATAATGCATTTGTAAATAGTGGAACAACATGGAATTAGAGGAAGGATTTGGTACTTCAGGGACTAAGTTAATAACGGTAGAATTTATGGCTTGAAGCATCATCAGCCGCTGTAGACCAAGCAGCCCTAAAGAATTGTGTAGTATAACCGTCAGGGCCATGGGATTTGGTTCGATTAAGGGAATAGACTTCACCTCTTCATGTGTAATGGGAGCCTGCAGGATATTTCTAGATTCATCATAAAAGGATGTCTTCAAGATGGCCATAGCCTCATCAACAGAGCAACTCTCCACCTTATCATCAATTGTTCCAGGCAACTTAATGTAGAAATGGATATCCTCTTGAGAAACTA